CACGCCCAACATGGGCGTGCACTGCACTGTCGGGCGCCAAGTTGGGCTTTTGAATGTTTAGCCCAGTTTTTTCGATCGAAAAGACGGAATTTTTACCTCGCTGTGTTCGCTATCCCGATCTTCATTCGATAAATTCATTTATGTTCGTATATCACACCAATAAGAATGATTTGTGAAGAAATTGTCTTGAGAGCAATTTTTTTTAGAGAGAGAGAGAGAGAGTTTTTTTGAACGGTAAATAGCCTTTTTCAAACGGTAAAAAGCAAATCCCTTTATTTTTCTACTTCAAATTGATTTAACAATATTTTTCGTATTTCGATGCAACTTTCAGTTAATATATATGGACTCTAGAAATAGACGTTATTTGTTGACACTAAAATAGGTTAATAATCTTGTCTGAATTCAAATTTCAAACTCCAAGTTATTTTAATATAAGTATTTGTTTTTTGCTCTCCTAGTTTATATTTTCTGCAGTCAATGATTACATTTATATTATATATATATTTTTATATACTTGTACAAAAAAAGATTACAATAATATATTGTCAGGTAAGGTGCAATAGATTACAAATAATATTGTTTCCAGAAAAAGGACTTGATTTGATAGGGTTATTTGCATGATTAGACGCATTAGGGTGCATGAGTTACAATAATGCATGTGATATTATATTTTGCAACTTGCATTTATTCCGACCATATATATATATATATTTAGATATTTTTTATACAGAATAAGTTTCATTTCCGACCAACGTGCGCGTACAATTACTAGAAACAGCACTTATAAACATAACAAATATATTTAATTAAGAAAATATAAATATAAAAGAAAAAGAAAAAAAGAATTGGGGCCGGGGAGGTAATAAAAATAAAAAGAGATGGATCCCATGCAAGAAGAAGATTGGTCAAAGGACTGGCAAGAAACAATTTACCAAAGAAAGAAGCAAAGTTATAAAAGAGTGTGATGATTCTGATGCAACCCAACACTGCCACAAATGTACTACCAAACTTGGAATTTTCCACAAACAAATTGTGTAGTATAATATATAAATATAATTAAGAAAAAAAAAGAAAAAGAAAAAAATAATAATAATGTTGAGAAGACAGGTTGAAGTGATATTCAAACTGTCATCACGTCTCTCCCCTTGTCTGTGCGTGGGGAGGGGGGCCTGCCCTCCCCTCTCTCTCCTTCTCTCTCTCTCTCTCTCTCTCTCTCTCTTGTCCTCTTCCCTTTTTCTTTCTTCTTCTTCTTCATCTTAATGAAACTCTCTCTTTCACACAAACCAAGTTTACATTTTATTGAATTATATATTATTGTCTCCTCCTTATAAATTTTCTAGCTACCCCTCACACTATATATTTTATATATATATAATACTGTCTGTATGGGTGTGTATCAGTTAACTTGTTCTTTCTCTCTCTTAGGTTTTCATTCTTGAAAACAAAAATACACGAGTAGTATAGCTAGGTTTTAATTTTCTGCATCTACACATCACATGCAGCTGCCCTTTTCAAATCACACATATATATATGCTACCCCCCACAATTTCTTGGCAATATCATGGTTTGACAAATGCATGGCAGCTTATCTTAGCTTATTAATTATTGAGGTTATTAATTAATTAATTATTAGGTCAAGTTAGAACTTACTATATATATATATATATGTGTATGTGTTGAAATAAGTAAGTGAATAAGAAGATCTCGCGCGATGTCTGGTTCAGCAGCCATAGTTAGTAATTCGACATCAGAAAACAGCAACGGCAGCGAAAAGACAGTAGGCGCGGCGCTGAGCCGGTACGAATCACAGAAGCGTCGGGACTGGAACACGTTCGGGCAGTACCTGAAGAACCACAAGCCGCCGCTAGTACTGTGTAGGTGCAGCGGGGCACACATACTAGAATTCCTGAGGTACCTGGACCAATTCGGTAAGACAAAGGTACACAACAACGGGTGCCCATTCTTCGGGCACCCTAATCCACCGGCACCGTGCCCATGCCCGCTGAGGCAGGCATGGGGGAGTCTGGACGCGCTTGTTGGGAGGCTACGCGCGGCGTTTGAAGAGAACGGTGGTAGGCCGGAGGCGAACCCTTTTGGGGCTAGAGCAGTAAGGCTTTATCTGAGGGAGGTTAGGGATTCACAGGCCAAGGCCAGAGGGATCGCTTACGAGAAGAAGAAGCGCAAGAAAACACAGATCAAGAAACATGATCAGGAGACAACAACAAACGCAGGAGGTGGTGGTCTTATGATGATGATGGCGGCGGGACCATCATCATCTTCATCATCATCATCATCATCTGCTGCCAGGAGGAGTTCCATCATTATTCCTTTATCTGTTTTTAATTAATTTATTAAATAATCTTCCTAGTAGTTTTGAATTAATATGTAGTCTAGTTATTTTCTGAATATGAATAATAATGTGGATCGGATGAAGGAGTTTAATTAATTAGTTTGTTTGTTAGATTACCGGCCAGTTTAGTAAGAATAGCTCTTTCTTCATCAAACATGTGATGTGATTCTCTCTCGTGTGTTAGTTCACTCTAAATCATGAGTTACGTTACGTTGTCGGTAATAATTGATTAACTATGGTTATTTGGGTATCCGAATTTGGTTATTAAATAATAAATAATTAGCGTCTCACTGTAATTAATTAATTAATTAATTAATTAATTAATCAGCTCATCACTTGCAGCTGCTGCCTGCTTATTATAATAATATGAAACTAGAGATCACAGTATTAGAAATGAGTTTATTATTTAGGTATCGGCCATTAAATGGATGGAGAACTCAACAACAACATCAATTCAAATATGTGCTCAACAATCCTTCATTAAAGAGGCGAAGACACAAAAGGTAAATTAAAATTTGTTTGATAATGGGATAAGACATGTCTATTCTTGGGCCCTCATACCACCTGATCGATGCAGATCATGCAACAATCATCAACATCAACATTGCAATATATATATACACATATATTAGTGGAATCAAGAATATATTTATAATTTATTTATTTCCAAAATATATATAATGCGTGTCCACGTCAAAATTTAGAATTAATTAATTAATGATCCATCTCTTATTATATATGCTACCTTTTCAACAATATACTTCATTTCACTTTTAATTTGTTAATTGTTTCATCTCTGTATGAAATTTCTGCTCCACGATATATAGGGTATGATGATTAAAGGAACGAACATTAAAAATAAAATAAAAAAATAATAATAATAATAATAGAGTGACAGATATATACATCACATTTCATGGTTGACATGAGAAAGGGGACAATTGCTGGCTCCCAATTCTTCCAACAATTAATTATAATTATAATTATAATTATAAAATGTGTCCTCTGTGCACCATTAAATTATTCCACCCTATTGCCACATTCAACTAGCTAGTCAAAAACGAGGAATTGAAGAACTATTATATATTCATATTTAAATATATTAGTAATTCATAAGTAATAATTACGTTACGTTGTCTTCTCCGTCGACCATCCATATTAATATATCTATATGGGCATCTTTGCTTGGGGGTATTACAAGGGATGAGATGGGATGTATCGATTTGTACAACGTTTGGTTTGGTTGATTTTACCATTCTTGACAGTTGGGCCCACTCATTTAATCCCTCAATTGAATTATTGTTAGTCAAGCCAAAATTGGCTTGACTAATTATCACATACTCAATCCCATACAGCAACCTATGTGAAATATCGAAAATATCCTTCCAAAATACCACAATTACGAAATTAATAGGTATAAATAGTGAATAATCTTCATCTTCCCCCTTTCAGCTCTTGTACCCTAGGTTTTTACCAGGTAAAAACATACCTTTCAATGGTTTTTCGTATTTCTGGTGCTTAATACCAATCTTTTATTTTTACATATTTTCCCTACGTATGCTGTTTATATATATATATATATATATATATATATATATATATATATATATATATATATATATATATATATATATATATATATATATATAAAGAAGTAACATTGGTTATTTTTTTGGAGAAACCCTAGATTTTTTTGGGAATAAAAGATTACACGTTGTAATTTCTCCTAAATTTATTCGCACAGTTTCATTCCTTTTTTTTTTTTTTTTTAATTTCCTTTTATTCCTTTTTCTTTGGGTGGGTTTTTTAAGTGACGTTATAACTTCTCTCTCCCACCCACTTCTCAACTTTCTGAAGATGGTTTTTGATTCTTATCCATCTCCATTATTTTAAAATTTATTTTTTTGTTCTATTTAAACGATCAGCCTTTTCGGTTTATTCCCCTCTTTTCCTCTGAATATATTGGTTGGATAGATATTTTTTATTTACTCTCTGTTTTTCTGTTTCCGTGTGGTTTTGCTGGATTGGTGCTTATTTTTGTGCGATTAGATTAGTGTTCTATGTGTTAGTTGTGCGATAGTGAGTGTAGCATCCTGCGTGCGTGTTTTAATTTTGTTTTAATTTTTGGATGATGAATAAGATGGGAGCTTAATCCGCTTAGACTGGTTCTTGAGTCCGCCATTAATAGTGTTTTTGATTAGCTTTTTTTGATTTTTTGATGGAGTTGTAATGGGCTTAATGAGTTTAGTTTTGTTCTTGATTGAGAAAGCTTTTTTTGCTATTGAATAAGAAGAAGTGAGTTTTTTTCTTGATAGTGATTGGCTGATTACTTTCACCATCATCTTCTGAATCTAACAACATTCTTAATTTTTTTGTGGCTGTTGTTGGTTTTGATTGGCAGAAGAAATGAATATTGAAGTGAAGAAAAGTAGCAAGATTAGATAGAGAAATGAATATTTTTAGATAGTGTTGTAACTGGTTGACGGTTGGCTGTCGATTATCCCGGTTCTGCTACACGACGATTTAAGGTGAGTTCTCCAATGGGTTTAAGTTCTTCTTTTAGATTACAGATTAAGGATTGAGAAAGGTAGCATTTATTTGGAAAAAAATATTTTATCTTTTTTTTTGGGAAAAAGTAGTACATTACCTCATTTTTGGTTGGAAAATAACCATTATTTGGAAAAATAATCAATTAGTGAATTATAATTAGTTAATATTGAAGTCAATTGGTGAAATAATATATGATGTTACTCAGTATAAATTGTTTGGCATTAATATTGTTTATCATAAACAATATATAAAGAATGCAATTAAGTTGTTTTTCTTTTAATAGTTTACGATAGTTATTTCATATTTGCTTGCTCTAGGAGTTGGTTTATATGTTTCATATGTTTGAGAGAGGTTACAGGGTCTGGAATGTGAAATTTAGTTGTGAATATGTTTTTTTTCCCCCAGCCAGTGTAAGTATTTGCGAAAAGAAATGTATGCTTAATCAGATTAGAGGAGCAAAAGAATACTATATTAATCTGTTGAGACTAGGGTAGATTGGAAATATGTAATCTCTGATTGTTGTTGTTTCCCTCCGTTCCCTATTAGGTGTCGTTTTTAGCTTTGCAAAATGTGTCTTGATTACATTAAAAATATTAAGATAACATTGATTATTTAATGATGTGATGATAAGAGAGAGTTAATACTAATAGATGAATTAATAAGGTTAGAACCAGAAAATATTGTTATATATTGTTTTTACAATATATATAGGTGGTATATATTGTTTATACAGGGAATCAATATATTACTATAATTATAATCGTGGCATTTTTTTTATGTTGTTTACTAAATAGGATCACAAATGTCAATGACGAACACGAGTGAGAAACAAGTAATAGTTTTCGTGGTGTATGAATTAGTCGAACAAATGCAAGTACTGGGGAAAGTGCCGAGGCTCTCGCCAGTGCGATCAACGATATATCGAAACAAGATAAAGAAGCGGGCGACGATTCAATGGGTGGAGACCACATACCGCAACCTGCCATGCACTCCAACGAGAATGACTCGGAGAACATGTCCTCATTGCACGGTGAAGGTTACATGTCTAATATGCAAGGTGAAGGGACTTCAACCTCACATCAAAGTAGGGGTAAAAAGAAAGGCAACAAGCGTTCCCGAAACGATGACCTCGATGGTCGTATCGTGGATATGATGGCGGATATGACTAGGACTTTTGCGGAGACTAAAACATGCCTAGGCGAGTTGGCCCACCGTATTGGTTTTGAGCACAATGCGTCAACTACACGTAAAAAGGTGTTGGATGCCCTATCGCCGTTATGTTTAGGTGTCGAGGATAAGATTACTGTCGCTAAAGCCGTTTGCAATAGCCCAACCGATCTCGACATCTTTTTCAGATTAAATGAAACTGAAAAGGGGGTTATGGTTCGAATGATCCTCGAAGGGCGCTACTTCGGTTAGCTAGAATATCATCCACTCACAAGGTGAAGAAACTTTTTCCCGTATTCGGACCCTATCTTACGGCGTTATTTGCATTGAAGACATTTCTGTTAGTTTTTCCGTATGAACTTATAAATTTTGGCCGATTATATGTCTGTAAATATTCTGTTAGTTTGGAGCTACTATGCCTAAATGGTAAGCTAAAAAAATATTTTGTTATTTAGGAGCTACTGGTCAATTTGAAACATGTTCAGGGGATGTGTAATATTCCAAGATTTATGTCAATATGCATGCGTTATATTCACACTGCAACAGGTTATAGTTGCAGGCCTTCGTGCATATTTTTGTCAATATGCATGTCTTCGTGTTTTTTTTTTTAATTTCAGAGTAATTGGTTTATGCAATTGCGAAAGTTTCATTGTGCTCGGTCATTGGTTATAGTGTGATCGATTACAACTTTAAATTCTATATGAACAAACATCTGTATCAACAAATTTAAACAAACAATGTTAAATATATAAATATGTATTAACTAAGAAAAACAGTAGTATGAACAAAATGTAAACAAACAATATTAATATATATTATCGCCCATGGGTACGAAACATGAAAATTAAAATTACAAACCAAAATACGAAGTCAGGAAAATCAAATACTAATACCGAAAATCTTGCCGACTACATGGAATTGGGAAAATAATACGGGAAATACCAATAATAATAATACGGAAAATATTAGGAAAAACTAGCCGAGATAATGGAGATTGGAAAATTTTATAATTACAGGAAAAACTAGCCGAGATAATGGAGATTGGAAAATATTAACAAACAATGTTAGGGCTGATTTTATAATTACAGGAAAATAAGAGAAAATAATGGGTGCAATTGGCAATAATTTAAAATTTTCAGATGTATAAACTAATAAAAAAAATACCTTCCAAGGGGTGGTAATGTAATTAACCAAATTATCCCACCCAATCCTCCCAACCATTCCTGAGAATTGGCTCATTCGGATTGAATCCTACATATCCATATCCAACCAACCAAACCCGATATACCATCCATACTTCACTAATCCATACAGTGTCATTTTTCAATTAAGCCCCAATCCCATCCCATCCCATCCCTCCAACCAAAAGGGGCCTAGTAGTTACAACAAAATTTTGGATTTTAAAACTAGCCAAAAGGTGATGTATACTTATGCAATTTAAATAGGGATGACAATGGGTAGTATGGGTTTGGCGGGTTTTGGACCCGGAACCGATTCGTTTGGGATGAGTCTGGGTCAACTAAATGGTTATAAATCGGGTAATGGATTTAAGTTTCTAGAACTGGATGGTTATGGGTCGGGTTACGAGTCTTATTGGAACTGACCCAGAACCGACCCGTATATATATATATATATATATATATATATATATATATATATATATATATATATATATATATATATATATATATATATATATATATATATATATATATATATATATATATATATATATATATATATATCGGATTTCATTCATCAAACTATCAATTTCCATCTTATCTATTCTCATTTATCTATTTTCACTGTTTTATTTTTTGAATTTCATTTCTCGTGAGTAATATTTATCACTTGTCGACCACCGCTAAATGTCTTGCATTTTGAATTTTACTTATTATCGAAATTAAACATAATTAATTCTAATTTTATTGGTCATGTTATATCACTTGTAGACATTTTTTAAAATATTGTATTTTAGTATTGAGCTCATTTCGTAAGAATAGACAAGCAAAATGTTATGAAAATTAAAAAAATATTAAATTTTTTATATGTTAACGGGTCTAGCAGGTCTGGCGGGTCAGAACCGTTTAGTTAAGGTCTGGGTTGAGGCGGGTCTAAGTCTAAGCTAAAACGGGTTGAGGCGGGTCTTGGGTTTATATATTTTTCACGGGTCGGGTCTTGGGTTTAGGCAAATCCGGCCCAGAACCGACCATTTGCCATCCCTAAATTGAAATGACATAGTGGCTTCAAACTTTAGGGATTGAATTGCATAAAACCAAACATTTGTGGTGTGTTTTCAATACAACTTAAACGTGAGGGTCCAAACTTGATAATACTATTTATTAAGTAAGACATGAGCCCCAGAAAATGTTACACAAAAATCGGGGACAGTCACCTCATGGAAACCGCGTCGTGCCCCATTCTATACACAATCCGATTTCGCGGCGGCGGCACCACTGCACGCGCCGCTAGTTCTGCAAAACTGTACTCTGACATACACGGCAAGCTTTTACGTGGCAATTCCATAATCCCTCCTCCAAGTTACAAATTCGGCGACAACAGGTTACAATTTGGTCGTTTTATCTGTAATGCCTCCACAGCAAATACAACTCAGAGTGACCCGTCTCAGAAAATCGCCCTTCTTCTCGAAGTTGATGGGTCTGTTTTTTCTTTTTTTTTTTTTAAATTTTATCGTTTGATTATACTTTTGTTTTTACGGGATTCAGTAGTGTTTTATACGATTTTGGCTCTTTCTGATACTTATAAAATATTGAATTTAAATTAAAGATTTTGTTTTGGTCAGGGTTCTAATGGATGTGTATCGCTTATGCAATCGCCAAGCTTTTAATGTAGGTGCGACAACATGTGACTCAAATTTAACTTAAACATATATATGTATATTTATTCATTCAACATTGTTTGATGTTCATTTGACAAATTTTCAGCGTTTAGAAAGCTGGGGTTAGACTGTGCGAATTGGACGGAGCCAGTTTATTTAGATCTTGTAAGGTGTGATGATGTTGTATCAAATACTTTTATAATGATACTATTTATCTTGTTGCATGTTTAACTAAATATTGACTGATTCAAAATTTTATTATAAGTTGGTTCTATATCTGCAATGCCTTATTCAAATTATTGCACCGTGACGATTAAGTTCTTTTATGCTGTTGTATTCCTTTTCATTTTTGTTGGATTATAGCCACAAAAATAATAAATGAATGGGAAAACAGGAAATCTTTCCCATTAGCATAATGAATTGTTCTTTCTATGCTCAGGAAAAGCGCTGGTGATGAAGAAAGGATGTTAATATTGTTTTTTAACAGAGTTAGTGTTCCTATATTAATCCTTTTATCATTTCGAACCCTGTTCGATTATAGCCATTCGTGGTTTGAACTAATTAATGGTATCTCATTGTGGCAGATTGGTTGGCCCACCTCAGTTGCCACAAGTGAGAAGGGTACTTTTATGAAAAATGTTCTTCGAGAGAAGGTATTTGTTGTATCCTTTTTTCGTACCACTCGTGCCTTATGGTAGTGAAACCAATTTGTTCTTGTGTAAATTTCTCCACATTTGTTATTTATATTATATTTGTTCATCAAACATGTTTCTTGGGGAACTGCCCTCATTTGCCCTTTTTTCTTCACTAAAATAAAAATATTTAGTGATTCCTTTTCGGTTGCATTATTATTCTTATGTATGTAATGACTGTCTGCAGAAGAACGCACTGGATGATCTTGTCATATCAAATGCTTTCTCATTGAGACCTGGTGCTGAAGCGTAAGTAGTCGTTGATTCAGCTATTTATTATGGATTAATGACCATGGAAATTTGAAGTAATAAACTAGTGCTTTACGACAGAAGAATTGCATTATGAGATTCTGAACAGGATATAATAAGGTGTTTTACCCCTGACCTCAGGTTCATCGACGATGCTTGTGACAAAGGCATACCAGTAATTATCTTGACAGCATACTGTACAAGTGGAGAAAAGGTTGCGAGGTTGTTACTAATCACTAAAAACTTTAGTATGTCACCCAAAATCTCTTCCATTGTTCTTAAAATAAGTAGGTAATAAGATAGATATGAGGGAAATGAGAATGAATATAGAGCATAATGACGGGGGGAGCAGTTCAATACTAAGATAGTGAATGTATGTGCTAAATGTTTTTCATTCGAGCCATATTTTTGTCAGACTGATTGCTGAAAAACTTGGAACGGATAGAATGTCTAAGACAAAGATTGTCGGAGATGATGAAGTAAAACAAAGCTTTTATGGACAACTTGTGTTTGGAAAAGGAGTGTCGTCCAGTTTGGACGAAAAATTAGCCAGGGAAGTGAGCAGAGCAGGTAATAAGAAAGAAACTCTTCTGTTTTCAGTGTACATAAGACATGATTTAAGGACTGTTTTATTTGTTTTGGGAGTCAGCTTCTGCTGAGAGACAGAGAATTGCAGAGGAAGTTGCTTCTATACTTAAGCTTAAAGTTGAACTTAACACCACTTCAAGTGAAAGGTTTTCTTTTTTGTGTCATAAGCTTCTTCAAAGTATTGGAAACTCTTATCGGTTTTAAATTGTTATTGGTTTATATATACAGCTTACAAAACATTGTAGCTGCACTAAGGGCAGGAGCAGAATATGCAGAATTACCGGTTAATAACTGTGTTCTGATTGCCGGAAGCCAATCTGGAGTTGCTGCTGCTGAGCGAATTAGTATGCCTTGTGTTGTTCTTCGCAGCAGGTAAAATATTTTCAATTTTATTTACCAAATTGCCCTTCTATCATCTATCATATCATTTGCAATCACACTCATTAACTCTGTTCTGCCATTTTTTTTTTCTTGGTGCATCTTGAAGTTCGACATCAAGAGCAGAATTCCCTTCTGCAATTGCTGTAATGGATGGATTTGGTGGTGCTGATTTGACCATTTCTAGACTTGTCAGGAAATTGATGTCATAGGTTCTCAAAACTGTCATATGATTGATTCTGCTCTTTGTAATAGAAATAAATGGTCTTTCAGGGCAATACCAAAAATCTTGTCTTATTTGTAAAACACAGATGGCAATTTCGAATTCTCCGTTGTTTTGCTTGCTATATGGTGATTAATACATGCAATTTTCATCTGGAAGATGTTGTGTGTGACGAAAGCAGAGAAAAAAAATGGAGACTTCCATAGTAACTCTTAAATGAATTGTACACATTGGATTGATAAAGGCCAAATAGCCCTGTTTTGTACTACTACTACTACATTCTACACTCTGTAAGGGCCAAAAACAAAACTTGTACAAAGTTTTTGAAACGAAAAATTGGAATTACCATTATCAAGGTAAGAGTAGACTGGCTACAAGATATTTTGCAGCTTATCTTTATATCTTTACAAATATAAGTGTCTACCCTTTTTTCATCTCATGAGATGATCGATATTCTGGATTCACTTCACTGGATGGTTCTTGTCAATTTGCACTTGGAAATGAACATAGTATCGGAATAATTCAAACTGCAGAGCTTCAAAAGCTCAGCTGCCCTCTGCTTAAGAACCGGAGTGCAGCCACTCTGTATAACAAGAAGTAGCTTCGCTGCAAGACCTGCATCCACAGCTTTCAACGAGCATTCCTCAGGGCAGAGGTTACACACACACCACAGGATCGAAAGGGAATATTCCGTACAACTTTCTGAAACCTTCATGATTAGTTTCACCATAGTTGGTATACTGCTCGGACAATCCTTCAAAGCTTGTTTCCCTTCAGGCACAGATGACAGGGCATCCAATACGAAAAGGGCCAACTCCATGCATTCTTGGTTTAGGACAGGTAATAATTCTAACAATTGAGGTATTGCTCCAACGCTCACTATCAAACTCCGAACTTGTATATGTGTGCAGATTAACTTGAGAAGATTTAGCCCCGGTAAATGCCCGTTTGGGTGCCTCTTATCCCGCACCAGCCTCATTAGAGAAACCAGTAAGCTATGACTCGAGATAATTTCCGCACGGAAATCTTTTTCCTCCATCAATATTTCGATTAAACGAACGCAGTTGACTTTCGTTTCGACCGAACCCTCATTCAAAATATCCACGACCGATGATATCTTTGCGGGTTGCATCAAATTGGTTTTGCAGTCGGAACTTAGAGCCAACTTCACGAGAATTGATATAACTTCGGATCCTACTGCATAAGAAGTGAAAGGACCGAGTAGAGAAGAAAGAAGAACAAGGCCGCCTTCATCAACAAGGGATTTTCGGGCGGTGGAATGAGTAGCGACCAGTTGTTGGAGCTCCTTTAGGGTATGGATTCTTGATTGGCCCTTGACCCTTTTAAGGGTAGTGAGAAGCTCGGATGCTCTTCCTTGTGCGTCTTCGGATCTTTTCTTCACGTGGACATACTTTTGAGAGAACCATGTGTGGGTCAAATGGTGGAGAGTGTTGTTTGGGGTGATGGTATCATCCCAAAGCTCTTGCATTGTGGTGGGGCAAGTGTAGTGACCTAAGCTGAACCATTTGAGAATGTTGGATCTTTCGTAGGTTTGTCCGGTGCAAAGTGTGACCGGGTCTTGCATGGGTTCTAGAGATATGGGGCAAATGAACACCGATGGAACTTCCGGTAAATTCAGCTCTTCGATCATCTTATTCAGATCCAACTTCTCTCCACCACCACCACCACCGCCGAAGCCTCCGGCAGCAATACCGCCCAGTACACCGTCTTTGACAGCGGTGTCAAAATCCAATATACGGCTATCCCCTCGCCCAATGATGGAATCCTTTAAACAATGCTGAAACATAGGCATATTGAAAACCCTCTATACGAATTACAACAAAATGACTGACACAAGCCCACTTTGTGAATCAACAACACACACACAGAATTAGAAGAAAGCACATGATTACATTACAACATGAGGTGTGTGTGAAAAGAAACAAGGCAAAGTATCTTCTTGCTTTCATTGACATTAACAAGCAATAATAATAATAATGCACCTTTCAAAGGCCACATCTTTTATTTCCTGCCTCTCTCTCTCTCTCTCTTTCTTTCTTTCTCACTTTTTTCTTTTTGTGGTCAACAAAACAAAAGACTCATCACCATGATAGAGCATTCATAATCAAGACTCTTCCCTCAAATCAATTATTTCTTCCCTTACTACTTACTATTCAACCCTTTGAATCGTATAAATAAATCTAGACTAGGCAGAGATCTACAAAACAGGAAGATCCAATTTTCAGCAAAAAACAGCGGGAAAATGGAGAAAATAATTCAGACCCAGATAATTAAAAATAAACCTGAAGAAATCTAAGGCTGAAAAAGGGAGAGAGAGAATTGGAGAAGAAGAGAGAGAAAGGGTATCTATCTCCGGCAGAGGTTTATGTTCTTTTTTTTTTTCTTCTTCTTTAGTTTTTTGGGGGGCAGACCCACTTGTCGCCTTGACTGAATAGAATAAATATTTTTTATATCGGAAAGAAAAAAATGCGAATTTCAAAAGTTTATTTTAATGAGAAAAAATGTTTTGAAATTCACGTTAAAATATGTATGTGGATTGTGGAGTGGGAGGACTGAGGAGTATATTGGAAGAATAGAAAAGTGGCAGGCGGCAGTGACCGCCGTGACACTGTTGCTTTGACTGTCCTCCTCCTCCTCCTCCGCCTTTTCCCGTGCGGTTTTGACTGCTTTCAACTTATTACTTTTTCTAATTATTCTAATTAGTAATCTTTTTCTTTTTGTTTATTTCTTGTTTTACTTTTACTATTTGTTAGCCTATTATAAAGTTATTTCAACAAATTACTTTTTTCTAAATATTCTAATTCAATTTTGAAGAAAGGGGAAAAAAAATAGAGTTTTATTAAATACATTAGCCAAATGAATAATAATAATGAGTAGTGATTTAAGATAGCAAAACCAAAAATACAACAAGAGCAGACAAGAGAAATTAAATACCTGGTGACCGGGAACAACGGGCAAGTAATTTAAATTTACCTTTATAACCTTACTCATCAGGAATATATTCCAACACAAACCCCTACAAAAATAAAATATGCTTTTGCCTACAGGGACTCATTATTATACTATTCATTGCTCACAATTCCCAAAATTCAATCATCTCTCATACATTATTACATTATGCATCTTCATCATTACCCACAACTTCTATTTTTTCTCTAAGTATCACCACCCACAACTAATTACTATATTTATGCATAATAGATATAATTAGATACTATAGTATTGCACATTATTTCACATATCGTTTAGTGTTAATACTTAATAGAACAATGTATCAACAAATTCAATTTAAGATTTTGTTAAAGACGTACAACTAAAATGACAGAGAAATTAAATATAGTAAAATTAAAGCCCATCCACATTAGTTATTGTAATAAATATAAAATTAAGTTTGTTAAGATATATATATATGATGGTGCTAAAGTTTAGCTCACCTAGGATAATGTAGAAAACGAGCTGGGAGAGCAAAACTGATCAGTAGCTAGTCAATTCGATGCTCCTGAGGTCCCTGCGAAAAGAGCACACGTGAACTAAGCCGGGGGTTGATCCGGCGGAAACCCCTCCGACGCTCAAGTCAGATGTACGGATCGTAGAGAGAGTAGAGAGAATAAAACTCGAGGTGAATTGTCAAATATGAGAACGTACCTTTACAAATGAATAAAACATCTATTTATATATCGGTAATTGGGTTGGACTTACTTTGTTGGGCCCAAGCCTTACTTTGAAGGTGTTTGGGCTTTCGTGTAGTGGGCCTAATTAGTAAGTAACTTTGAGGCCCATTGGCCGCCCATTAGTA